TATATAATCTAAGTTATTTACAGAAAATTATAGTTGGTGTTACTGTAAAATTACATATGTTAATGTTGATAAACAAGGTAAATGTTTCTAGTTATTCTGCCTTTCAGAAAATTGAAGCTGGAGGAAAATGTAGCAAATATATGGCCAGAATTTGGATCAAATAGAAAAGATCGCATAAAGGTATACAATTTGTGGTTCAACTCCTGAGATACTTATTCCAAGTTCCAACATCCATTAAAGCTATAAACATTTTTTAATATTGCTGTGATTATTTATTATTTTCTTTTTTATTTAGGTCCATCATGTGCTTAACCATACATCCGGACTGCACAATGCCTTGGCAGACATTGGCAGAGAAAACCCTTTGCTTATGGCTGACTGGGAGGAGTGTTTAAACCGCATTGCCATGTCAGAACCTGAGACTGAACCTGGCCAGGAGCATTTCTATCACTATCTATCTTATGGTTGGATATGTGGTGGAATCGTTGAGGTATAATTGCCTGTTTAATATTCTGTCAACTGTTTAGTACTGTATGTAGTGGAATCATTGAATGCACGACCGTGAATTCCCATTTTGAAAGCTTGCTTTGTATATTTTCTAATTATCCGTTCGGATGGAACAGCATGCATCAGGGAGGAAATTCAAGGAGATTCTTGAAGAAGCATTCATTCACCCCCTCCAAATTGAAGGCGAGATGTATATTGGAATCCCTCCAGGCAAGTGTACTATGTTTTTGCTTCATTAAATGCAAGGAATATGTATCAAGAATCTGCAATCACACTTCTTTGTCTTAGTTGATTGATTGGTCTATATCAATAGGAAACTATTGGTTCAGTTGTTTATCAGAACGTATTCTGGTAATCATATATCTGGGCTTTGATTTTTTTCATAAAAAAATTTCCCTGCTTTTTGTTCCTCTTTTAGGTGTGGAATCTCGACTTGCAACCCTTACACCAGATACAGAGGATTTGAAGAAGCTTTCGGGGCTTAGCAGTCGTACGGACCTGCCGTCCTCTTTCCAGCCAGACAACATTATACAACTTGCTTCTGTATTGCCTGCTCTATTTAACATGCTAAACATTCGTCGTGCCATAATACCTGCAGCTAATGGACATTGCTCAGCTCGAGCTCTTGCACGTTATTATGCAGCCTTAGTTGATGGTGGTGTTGTTCCACCGCCTCATTCCTCTTCCTCTAAGCCAGCTCTTGGTAGCAACCCTCACATTCCCAAGTATCCTGTTCAGAGCTCACCCAAAAAGCAAAAAGGTAGCAGAACCAAGAAGGTAGCTGCTGCTTTCAGGTGCAGAACAAATAAATATGAGCAGACACCACAAGACCCAGACCAGGATATCGTTAGTCACAGTAGAAACACGAGCAACGATAGCGACACAGGTTTGACTGAGGTCATTGTGAGTCCCAAAAAAGACAATGGTGGTAAGATCTTTAGCAACCCCAGAATTCATGATGCTTTCTTGGGTGTGGGGGAATATGCAAATTTGGTTAAGCCAGATGGGAACTTTGGACTTGGGTTTAAGAGGTATCGTTCGAAGGACGGGTCCCTTACTGGATTTGGACACTCGGGAATGGGTGGATCCACGGGTTTTGTTGATATAGAAAACAGGTTTGCCATTGCTGTGACCGTGAATAAAATGACATTTGGAGCTGGGACTGGAAGGATAATTCAGTTTGTTTGTTCAGAGTTAAATATCCCAGTGCCAGAGGATTATTCAAAATTCGCAGAAAGCGGATCTGATGCGGGAAAACCTTTGATCAATTGAGGCTGGAAATTTATAAGCCTTTTTTTTACCCTTCATTCCCATTATAACCTGTATCACACATTTTGATTCCAAATACTACTGGTTTTGCTCCCACACGAATGAGTGTATATACTATTATACTATATAGTTATAGTGATTGTAATTTAAACAGTACATTTTACTAAAAGTGAAAATTTGAGTTCACTTGAGATTATTCCTTTTCATTTCATTTTACTTGTTCCCGTTACATCATCGCGGATCTGTTCTGCTTATTACTTTAGTGTTATTTCTCTTTTTAATATTGAAATAGATCTCAAGTTTGAATCTCTCATTCTACTTATTACAAAAAGAAAAATAAAAGCGTATTACTCAATTAAAAGATTCTCTTATATGGTTCATGATTAGTTGTAGAACTCATAGACACGAGAGGATGACCTTATTATTTGTAATTCAATGCTCTTAAAAGTCATTTTTCACTTCTTTCTTATATTTTTACACACGAGAAAAAGTGTTGATAATAACTCCCTAAATTCATATTCTGGACCTTAAATTTTTGTTTTGTTTTGTTTTTTTTTCAGTCGTGGTATATCATTTCTTGAATGAATTTAAATCCATAACCACATGGAAAGTTGAGAAGGAAGATTTAAAAAAGTGTAGCAGATCCCACGTGAGATGATGGCCAGTGCATGCAGGCGATCAGACAAAGGACAATAATTAATTGGTAAATAGGTGGAATAATTTATTGTTGCAAGTACGAATATCGGAATATATAAAAACAAAAACGCGGTTTTCTGCCCCTTCATGTGCACTCTAAAATAGTTGGAGGAAGTTGATCTGCAATAATAAATTTCATTTCTTCGAGCTCCCTTCAGTAATTTAAATTATCTTCAACTGGTTTTTTATTTATGAAGAAACATTATCAGTGTCCTCCATGGCTCCATGTTTCAACCAAGTGCTATATATTGCTATTCTACTTTCTTCGGACGCTATTTTCATTTTCTTCGAGATTGAGTCACTCACACTAAGAATTCGACTCTCATTTTCTCTTTTTTATCAAAATCTATCACTAGTGATCTAGCACCGTGATATGTCACTGTTTCTACCCTCGTTAAGAATGAATTTTGTTGATTTGAACATACTGAAACTAGCTTTGGATATTTCTAATGGACAATTTAGATTAAAAGTTAATTAACAATAACAAGATAATCCAAATTTCCATTATATGGGATCTTGCCACAATCTGGAGACCTTCCTGTGTTATTTTCTTTCAAATGTTGCTAATACACCGACCAACTCTAAAACAATTATGACAGTATCCCTTGTGCATTGCATCAATGCCACACACAAATTCATATTCAATATAGCAATTGCCACTGCCAGCTTATATTAAGAATCTTAAAGATCGACCAAACAACAATTATCACAATTAAACTATTGTTGCAATGGCATTCATGTAGTTTCACCAGAACAACCAGGGTTTTTTCTCATGGCCAACACTATAAAACTGTGGACAGTAGCCATGGAGGAAATCACACATATCATTTCTCTATATTTCAACACTTTCCTTAGTGTTCTTGGGGTGTGTATATTTTATATAGGGGCATTATGGGAATAACTGGAGTCTGCTCTAGGTTACTTGGGGACTTGGTTCAGGCCTTTGGAGGGGTCTCAAGGCCAAGCACAGAATGCAAGCCACAAAATGGCAGTTGCAAGCCACAAAATGCAAGCAAAGTTGATGAGTCTATGGCAAGGGCACTGATCACAGTGTTTGGGATGGAAACCAATGGAAGAATCAAGAAGGAAAACGCGCGGCGGGTGGTGGAGAATCTAGGGTTGATATGTCATGAGGAAGACAAGTCAAGTTTCGACTTGCCGGGGGATGATCATGAGGTGCCAGTGGAGGAGGTTCTTGGTGGTTTGGAGGAGGAGGACGATGGGTCCAAGCGCAATGAGCTTTTGCTCGAGGCATTCAAGATTTTTGATGAGGATGGTGATGGGTTTATAGAGGCTGTGGAGTTGAAGAGGGTGTTGGAGTGTTTGGGGTTGGGGAGTGGGTGGGATATGGATCAGATTGAGAAGATGGTGAGGGTTGTGGATGTGAATTTGGATGGGAAGGTTGATTTTGCTGAGTTTGAGTTGATGATGGGGGTAAAATGTTAGAAATGCATTGCTTATTCTTTTTCTCAACAATATCTGTTGTACCAATTTGTATATTAAATGGATTCAAAATCTTTTTCCATCAGTAATGCCCAATTATTTGTTAACTGATTGTTTCTTCTATTTTTTTTCTTTGACTATACCTTGCTAAACAACCTGAAACAAAATTCCCAAAAATTTGAAGCATAAATCAAGATTGGTCAAGGGCTTGTTTGGGACTGATTTTGAAAGCGTTAAAATTGTTTTCTAACAATCAAAAGCGATTATGATATTGTTTGGTAAAAAAAACCGTAAAAATATGATTCTTAAAAGGACTTATTGCAAAAAAAAAATTATGAGCAGAAGTGATTGCTACATAAGCAAATCCCAAACTACCACAAATCAATTAGAATGCTCCACACTAAGCCTACAATTATCTTTTGAAAGTAAAGCAAGAACCCCAACAACTCATCACACAATTTCATGCCACAAATCAATTAGAATGCTCCACACTAAGCCTACAATTATCTTTTGAAAGCAAAGCAAGAACCCCAACAACTCATCACACAATTTCATGCCACAGATCAATTAGAATGCTCCACACTAAGCCTACAATTATCTTTTGAAAGTAAAGCAAGAACCCCACCAACTCATCACACAATTTCATGTCAAAATGATGCATACATCTTGCATTTATTATATAGTTTATAGGATGATATTAACAATGTAGATTCAGATTTATGCGGATTTTAAAATATTAAATTGTACATAAAAATCATTAAGGGTGAAGTGTTTGACATGTTGTATTGACTTGATTAGTTGGCTGCACACTCACTCACAAGTCAAGCACCATCAAAAGTGGGAGGGATCAGAAGCTTTCATGAATATAGAAAAAGCTTTGACATCAAAGTTTGGGGTGCGCGTGCGTGCAACCCTGGATTTGTCTGCTTTGCCAACAAAGTTTCAACTACAAAACGCGGTTTCAATGCCTTCAAAATAATTATAAAGCACAGTTGGCAGCATGATCATCTTCCTCTTTGCAAGCTCAATTATTACACAGAGGAAACAAAAAGGAAGAAGAAGAAAGCTATGGTTGACTTGGAGAGTGTAGGAAGTGGAAATTAAATTTAGAAAGCAACCTTTTTTCTTCACTAAAACTAAATTTTACAGGAGCCATACAGGCTAGGAAGGAAATCATAAAAGAAAAACAACAAGAAAAAAGGGCACACTTCTAAAAACTGCATACAAATCTGCCTACGGGCTACAGCATATATAATTGACAAGGAGGCATTTCAATCCTTTTCAGGAGTTCTTCACCACGTATCCGACACGCAGCTTACGGTATCGCTCATGATTCTATTGCTCAGATTGCTATTAGCCATACCAGCATTTCCAACTAGTCCAAGGCCTCCATTCTGCCCGGAGACTGCCATTCCGGCGTATCGAGCGTCATCTCCGTGGATGGTGACGGTCGGCGAGACGTGTGCTACCCCGCGCAGGTTATGAGGATTGAACTGTTGTGGCGTGCCTAGATGACCTTGAAGAATTTGATTCAAACTAGAGGTTATAGAGCCCCGAGCAACCATGTCCTCAGCTAGCTTCACCTAAAATGAAATGATCCTTCTTTAGTGATAAAATTCCTTAAAACATTTTAGAACTGTCAACTTTGTTTATGTTTTAACATGATGTTAAAGTTGTTCGTCATTTGTTTGGCTATAAATCTACTACTTCACTTGCTAGAACAAAGGATAGCAGAGGGCCAGAGGCTCTGTTTTAAAGCCTTCCCAACCTCTTTGAGCCTGCATATTTGGTTGTTTTTTTTTAATTTTAGATTTTCTCTTCTCTTTTTCGAAGTCTCGATTGCTTTGCCCAAGTGTTTGATAGTTTTGTGCTTAAACAGACTCTCTGATGTTATCCTATACCTTCGCTCTCAAAGCTTCCACATCTGATTTCAGCACTCTATTATTCGTATCAGCATCACGGAACTGTTGAGAAGCATCCGTAAGCTGCCTATATAAGGTTGAATTTTCTCCTCTCAGTTGTTCAACCTGAAAGAAACCATCAATTCAATTTCTCCTTCAGACTTCAAAATACTCAATCACAAACTTGACAGGAAAAAGAAAAAGAAAACGAAATCTTCTGTCGGAAGATAGTAATATCACGTTCGAAATCAGATTTATGATGATGCTTAATTTATCTCTGATTAATATGGCATACATGCATAATCCTTAATAAAACAGAGAAACAGAAACCATCGTTTCTCTGTATCTTCTTTGTTCTGGTAGTCTTTCAAACACTAAGTTATTACAAGAACATGTCCTACCTGGAACTCGAGATCTGCCAACTGTGCTTGCTTTCTTCTTCTTGATCGCCTCGCAGACTCCCTATTCGAGACCATCCTGCAGGGTAGTGACAAGGTAATGCAGTTTAGATCAATTCCCATCTAGTATCTCAACATCTAAAAGACAAAGAACAAGAGAAGGAGAACTTGAAATACCTTCTAATGCGTTTTATATCATGGGGGTCTGTGCTATCTCCACATGGACCAGCTTCTGTCTCAAAATCATCCTCATCCGACTGGTCTCCAGAGGAACCACTCTCGGCTCCTCTTGCTTGGTTATCTCTGGCAATCGGTTTAGCAGCCGACGTTGGACTGCCAACTGAAAACCACATATTAAAAAACTAAATCAGAAACCAAGTCAGGAATTGCTCAAGAACAAGTCCAAAGTGATAAACATAAAAGCACATGAACACACACACACAAGCAAAGTGTAAAGGTGCATATATATATTTGATGTTTCATAAAGCATACCACATATTGAGGACTGAGAATCCATGGTTGCTGAGATGCTGGAATTCTTTGGAGTGATATTTTGAGTGCAGAGAAGGGTTTCAGTCATTATGTCCTGCATTTATGGAATATATCTATATACTGTGAATTCATGTGCTTAGCTAGAAATCAAAATTTGACACTTGATGTTATCCTTGTCGTGTAATGGCTACTAAGAACTTTTGGTAGAGTCTCAAAAGCCACCCACTGTACCACTGAGACACTGACTTATTTATGGAAAACAAATCAATAATATGAAACACTAAAAGGGAATAAAATAACAAGGCAAAAAAATGAACTAAATAATGTGGATGCCCAATTGGTTGTGCTTACACAAGGTATCAACATCCACCTTATTTTTATAAACATGTGTGCCAGTGGCGACTGCCCACAACCTAACTCAATTGGGCTCAAATTAATGGTTAAAAAAAAAACCATGGACGAATTTATTATTATTATTTTTTAAAATTTACGGGAGACAGAAAATTTCAAATTATCTTCTGACTTCGAGAAAAAAAAGTTATCACTAAATTTAAACACTAACAACTAAGATGTAACGGGTAATTAGGTTTCATTTGACATGGGATTAACAATTTAATCATAAAAAACATATTGGAATTCTATATGTTAATTGACATGAGCCTCTCCATCCCCTCATCATGCATGATGTAACCAGCTACCTAAACTGTTTTTCATTAATTATCTAATTAATATCTCACTACTCATAAATATAACACTATCATTCAATATTCATTCTCAACCCCACAACGACGACCTTTTAGGGCCCAAATATTAAATGCCACGTCATGACGTTGATGTGGCAGACAACTAGACCCCGTTTCCAAAAACAAATGAGAGTGAGTGAGTGTGACTAACCCGGCTTTTGAAACCGAAGCTGGGGTCATCGGCCCAAACGTCGCCGTAATATCCCTCCGCATAGTCGAAATTCCGGTCACTCGGGTGAGCCCGAAATTCGCAGAATTTTTCATCCCGGTGGCTCTGCGTATCGGCGGCCTCCTGACCGATGATGGACCTCCCCAGAAACTCCTCCAGAGCCTTGCTCAGAGAACACTCCGAGGTGCTCTGCTTCAATTCGGCGCCCGCGAAGAGCGACGACGAAGTCGTTTGCGAGTGCGCCGCAGAGCACATCGCCACGTGTTTCTGCTCCATTGGGCGCTGTCTGTGCTACCTCCGGTGAGATTAGCAGAGAGAGAAAGAGGGAAGGGGGAGGGAAATAGAACAGACGGAGGGAGGTATAAATAGGAAAGGGCCATGAGGCAAAGTACGTAAAGAAAAAGTGGGCGGCACATGAAGTTAAAAGTCTGGTGTGTTTTAGATTACCAAAACACCCTCCTTCGTTAGGTCAAATGGCGGGGGTGATTTGTTCTTTTGTTGTGTGTTTTCGACTCGGGGGATCGTGGGCGGTATGGTAATTAAGCATGGCGGGTTCTTCGTGTGCAAGTAATGCAATTTATATTTTATAACTTTTTATTATTTTTGAAGATCTGAACCGTTGATTCCTAGAATCTAGAAAGAATCAGGATGCTGACACGAAACAAGTTGATTTAGAGTGGGGCCACCTGAATCTGCTAGGTGGTTTTAGGTCCTCAGTCTATAAGAAAACTTGTGAATGAGAGTTAAAGGAGACATTGAATAGGTAATCGCCTAGTAATATTTTACCTTTTTTCTTTTGATTACTAATGGATGGATCGAGCCGGCGTATTCGAAATTGGAATCTCTTCTAATATTAAGAGGAAAAATAGACGCAATTAAAAAAAAACCGATAATATTTTATTCATATAATTTAAAGTTATTATGTACATGAAATCATGTTTTAGTATATGGTTTTGAATTAAGAATGTGATCACGCAACATCCAAACTTTATGAAAATATTACATTATAGTAAGAGTGCGAGGAGGAAAAAAAAAATTGAATTTGGAATGAGTAACTGTCCTAGTTGTAATTCACTAGGAAAGTTAGACTAAATTTTCCAAGACCAATACCAAATTTTTTTATTTCGACAGGACCAATGATAAATTTGAAGATGAAATTAGTTGAAAGAATATATTTGGGTCCACATATTTAAATAGGGTAGACTTACTATCATGCGAAGTCACCTAATGAATTATTATAATGATATGCCCCTTCTTGATTTGGTTGTTATTACTTGGCAGGTCATTGTCCATACGAATTGGACATATTTTCAATGATTTTAATAGCATGAAGAGCTATAACAATTTCAAATTTCTCTCGATTGGTAATGCTAGGCTAGTATTTTCTTTGTCCTCCTTAATCAATCATGAATTCGTGGTACATATAAGACATTAGTCGTTCACGTTTACAGATAATTATAGCGTTCATGCTCACGAATGACTATAAGTTGTTTATAATATATTTCATATTTATTAGGTGTTAAAGAGGAAAAGACACAAGAAAAATGGTGTGCTTTGCTTTATGCCCTTGGTCTTGGATCCAATATGGAAATTTATAGTTATAATTTCTTGGATAAAGATTGAATTAGAGAATTTGATCAAGGAAATCTTAATTAAGACCTAACTTTTTTTAAGGTGAATTATCAGAAAAGCCCCCCCACGTCAGAACCACCACCATCAAAAGTGGTCTAATTTCTTGCAAATATTAAAATGGCCAAGTGGCCAAAAGAAAATCACAAGTTTCATGATGATGAAATAGACTTAATTCTTCTCATTAAAAAAAGAAGAAAAAGAAATAGACTTCATTCTCAAATTATGTGTACCAAAAATGGACTCATTTTCTATCTCTAAATTCTCTTTGTGGTATTATTAAGTTTCATGATGATGGTCAACGGGGTTTAGTCCAGTGAAAAAGGACTTTGATTTGTAGACCAGTGACCTCAAGTTAGAACTTCATGATACTTTAGTAGCGTGTGTATAAGAAACTCTCTTCCTTATAGTTTAGATTATCGCTTGTTTTTTTATTTATTGTAAAGTTTCACGATGATGAAATGGACTTAATTCTCTAATTATGTGTACCATAAATGGACTCATTCTCTCTCTCTCTCTAAATTCTATTTGTAGTGTTATTGCATCACTTGTAGGACAAGGCTTTCTTGTGAGGTGTCCTAAATTACGTCTAGGGACTTCGTTTGCTTTGGACAGGAAAGTTTTTCTCCTTATCTTCTTGCCCTTCTTTTTCCAGTTTACCTTTGGGTCACTTCAGTGCTTGTGTCAGTTCCATTTATGGGTTTATTGTTTTCTACATATTTCATTAGTGGTAATGGCCCTACAATTATATACAGTTCCCAGATATTATCTCATTTTACTCAACAAGGGCGGCATAAATTCTACTTAGCTAGCAAAGTGATTTTTCACCTATGGGGTGTCTATCTGTTTATAAAGAGAAAGGATCCCGAACTTCTACATTTAGAGGTAGTGCATGTAGCGATTTTCACACTCCTACTTTACACATGGAGGGTTTCAAATGTTCAAGCATGTCTCAAGGGGTGTTCCAAGGGAGGCCCTCTAGGCAGTGGCCCAACCAAATGTTTGAATTGTACTAATACTAGAGGCAGAATGGGCAATGCAAGAGACCCCATTACCTCTATCAATAAAATGGATGAAGAATATGAGTGGCACCAAGAGAGGCAAAATGTCACTTTTAGTTCTTGTAGTTTGTCGGTCTTAAATTGATGACTCGTTTCTTCCAAAATGTGCAATTAGCCCAAAGTTTATGGAACCCAATTGTTTCAAATAACGTGTGAGAGCCAACTTTCCAATATGGAAAAAGGTTGTTAAAGGACCTCTAGCATGACACCTAAGTGTATTTGGCAATTTCTAATTATTCCAAGTGTTAAATATTATTTGTCACTTTTTCAACAAAAGCAGGAGCCGAATTTTGTTGAAGAAAAGCAATTTTGGCTCAAGGGGTCAAAGGGCAAGCATTCCTGGATTCATGAGATTTGCTGATTGCATTTACTTATTCATAGCCAATCCCAGTGTTGGTCCAAGAGAAATGAAATTAAAGCTTTCAAGGGTTGAGGTAAAACTTTATTTTATGTGAATTATGAGATTTCTTATTGTAAAGTAACTATAGATGTTAAAGGGGCAATCATATAGTAAATCTAGAAGCAGCCCAAGCCGTTCAATTGGGTCAAACAACAACAACAACAACAACAGCAGTCACAAAGCCTCAGAGCCTAAATGCATTTTCTTTGGTTGATCTATCTCAACTACAAAGTCTACAGAAACTGTGGAACAAATGAATCCAGCAACAACAAGCAGCTTCCCACAAACAAAAAATGGGAAATCTCATGCCATTATCTTGACAGAACTAATATAGAGACTACGGCTTTGCCAATGTTGGAAATGGTTTCTAAAGTTGCAGGGTGGACCGCATCCGTCTTCCTTCGATCATGGAATATGACGAGACAATTCTCAACAACATGATCGGTAGGCTAGGCTGTTCAATCAGCTGAGGAATATCTGCAACTTCAAGGATTGCTTTCTGTGAGCATCTGCAACGAATTTCATGGCATCCAACTCTGTCCCCACATATCCCAGGCCTGCTTTGGAGGCTTCATCAGCACCGTTCACATGATTCTACACAGCAAATCCATGGGACCTTGTTCAAAGCATCTGCATACTCCTTGTTTTCCATCAAAAGAGCCTCAAGCCTTGCCTCAAGTCGCTTTGGAGTAAAACATAGTAGCAACTGTGTTCAGAATTATTTGGTATTGAAAGTACAAAAATATGAACTCAATAACAAAAACAATAACCCTTTGCTCCTTTGATGGAATGGAGTACAAGGGCAATCCATCATACAACTTATGAGATTTTAATCCTTCTAAGATTTCAATATTTCTGCTCTCCCAGAAAAAAGAAGAAAAATAAAACAACTATGACTGATCACAAAACACCAATTTCCCCCCTTTTTGACACAGCCCTTGTTCACCAACAGAGTTGACTATCTTCCCATAACTAAACCTCAAAGGCATTCTCCCCAACACCCTATGAAACTCACCTATGCACTCCCCTCTCCTCTTCCTATGCTTTCCTTTCCTACTACTCAAACCCACCTGTGCCACCTCCCCAATCAATTTATGCCGTCCATTACCATTACCATTACCATCACCATCATCATGATCATTGCGTGCATCCCCCCAATCCCTAGCCCTCTCAGCCCCCACCAATATAGGCCCTGCATTAACCTCGTCCGCCACCACAAAATTCATCAATATGTCCTCGCAATTATTCATCTTATCCACGATCCTCCTCATGTGTGCCATGACCGGCCCTCCTGCACAGCTGTACCGAAACAAATACTCGCTTTTCAAAAGCATAAATTTTGTGAGCATGATTGAGTACTTGTCTGGATGAATGGTGTAAATCCACTCTTTCTTTGATAAATCTATGTCATGTGACCTGACAAAGAACCCAACCAGACGGTCTGGGTTTGATCCCCACATTTTAAAAGCAAATTCGAAGGATTTAGGGTCAACTTCAACATCGTCATCACAGACCAAGACTGCTCGGGTCTTAATTGAGGGTCTGGGGAGGAACCGATTATTGAGGCTGTCTGATGTTTGGCGGATTACAGAGATGCCATTGAACCCAAATGAGGATTGTGTGAGATTGTGGGCCAGTTGTGCCAAGGTTTGGGATGGGGTGGAAGGGTTTCCCCAGAGTACAAGAATGGAGGAGACCAAAGATGAGGCTGCATACGAGGCAACGATGGATTGGAGGAGAGGGATGCGAGACTCGGAGTAACCATTGATGAGGACTGTTAGTTGGTCGGAGATGAGAGTTTGTGGTTCCTGTTGGGCTGTGGGGTTGCAAGGATCCATGGAAAGCGTACGGAGAGATAGCACAAGAACATCCCCAAAGTAGAAGAAGAATAAGAACATGAGAATTACAAAATTTGTTGGCAGTGAATGCATCTCTAGGTACCCTTTTGTTTTCTGACTCATAAGAATATATGCATCAACCAGAGCCTACCCTTTACATTTCAGAACAACATTTTGTTATTGACAAACCTCACCACTTGCCCCTCAGATATCTACCTGTTGTGAAAAGACCCAAATCAAGATTATCTCAAAGTACCAAGATGCTCAAAGCTATTTGGTGCTATTCAATCTAGCATTGTGGCCATGAACTTCATCTTGACAACAAAAACAAACAACAGACTGATATTCGAATGTTTTCAAAGGAGAAAGTGCAATTCAAGGTGTTTTGCTACAGCCGTTTGCTTTGCTGGGACTCAA